TGCTTTCTCTCTCCTTGGCTATTTTACAGGAAGAATACAAAATAGAGCACTTGTAACCCCCTGCATGCTCTTTTTATGGGCTGATTCAATGTTAAAAAAGGCAAAGAAAAGTTTATCTTCTGCTAGCAAAGTACAGGAACAGCACTTTCAGGCCTGTGGCCTAAAAGTAATGTAGGTGATGTGGAGGAAAGAGAAGATAGGCAGAAGCTGCAGTACTCTGGACAGTTTTCCTGTTCTTTCATCCTGCAGTGCACAGGGTGTGAAGGTAAGAACAACATCCTTGGTGCTGGAGCTGTGTGGGATGTTTGTCTGCAGCGCTGCAGCCCCGGGCCATGCTTGGTGTCAGCTGTGGCACAGGGGCAGTCCCAGGAGGAGCTGGTGCTCTGTCAATGTGGTGCTTTCCCTGATGTGCTGTGAGATGCCTGCAGCTGCCTCTGCTCTGCAGGTGTGGCACAGGAACTGTATCTCAGGGGAGTTCTGTAAATCATTCTGGGGAGTGAAGCAAGGCTGTTAATTCCAGAGGATCCTAGAATTACATGGCTCACGTTCAGGGTCATCTTCATGTGGGTACAGCACTGCTCTCACCACCACTAAGGCTGTGCAGCTGCAGAGGTTTTTAGATGCAAACATCAGGGCCAGTTACAGTTTTGATATTTCAGTCATAGATACGATGTCAGGTTGGAAGGAACCTCAAGGATTATCTGGCCCAACCTTTCTTGCCAAAGGCAGAGGCCAGGCAAGGTGGCCCTGCACCCTGTCCAGCACCCTATAAGCTGAATCTTAGAAGTATCCAGTGCTGGGAGAGCTAACATTGCTTGGGGAGATTATTCCAGTGTCTCATGCAATTTTGTGAAAAATTTGGTTTGCCTTTCATTCTTATGGCTTGTGGATACCAAAGTCAGGTTTCCATTCAGTGATGCTGGCTGGGCTCATCACTGATGCAAACAAATGTTGGTATTTCTAAGGAACAGCAGGAATTCCATGCACAGTGTCTTTGCTACAGCTCTGTTGTTGTCTGATCTGTCACACACACACATACATAAAGAAAAGCATATATAAATATACATAAAACATCTATGTATGTATACTCACACACAAAGGTAACAGGTTCTGGAGCCAAAGCTTTTTGAAAAGTTAACTGCTTCAACTATTTATTAAATTCGGTACTTAGAAAAGGCAAGATACTTTAAAAAGAAAAGAAAGCTTTGGTGGTGGCTGAGGAAAATGCAGAGGTTAAAGGCCTTTACTAATGGTTTGCAGTAGATCACACTGCAGGACTGGGCAGTTTGCAGCTTTCTAGAAGATGAAATCCCAAGGCAAACAGGCAATCTAGCAAGAGCCCTTCAGTGGAGTAACCTCACAAAAATGCAGTTTTATGCTCTAGATTTGAAGGCATCATTTTTCACTCTGGACTAGCAGAGCTCTGCCTCAGTGGGACAGTGCCTGGGATGGCTCTGTCCTGCTCAGAAAAGAGATTTGGAGTGATTCATCCTTTCCCTCCTTGATTTCTTGCCTTGTCTGCCTCCCTCAATCTGCTTCCCCAGCGTGAATCCTGCATTACACAGGCAGCTCCTGCTAACGTGGCAGAAGTGTGGGCAAAAGAGGCTGGAAAGGAGAATTTTGTCTGTCATGGTGCAGTGAGAGCCCTGGCAAAAGAGCAGCCAGGGAGCAGAGTGAGGCTGGGAAAGGGCTCAGTGTGGGCAGCCAGGGCCTGTGCAATGTGTGTGGTGAATCCAACATTTACTGCTGTGTGCAGAGCTCTTGAAATGCCTTTTTGGAAAGAAAGAGGAATGTTTTGTAGGGGCTGGTGCTGCAAAGAGCAGGTTTGTTAAGTTTCTGCTGCTTGTTTTCCAGAGGACAGAGAAGGGCTGGGGGCTCTCTCCGTGTGCCTGGGCCCCTCTTGCTGAGCAAGCAAATACCTCGGTGCTGTGGGAGCACAGAAAGGGCTCTGCACAAAGGATTTCTTCATTATAAACTCCTCTCTGCAGCTTTTACTTAGCAAAGTGTCAGAGCAGAGGGGATGTTGTAATGAATCAGTTGCTAGCGTGAAAGTACAGTTATTTCTTCTGCTTAAATCAAAAAGATGCTTTAGCAGAGTGCATTTAGACTGTTCTCTTTATCACAAAGCATTAACTTTGCATTTCATACCAAGAATTCCAAAGCCCAGAACTCTTATCCCAGAACAGGTTTAAATGCAAGATAATCTGCAAGGATGGTTAGCATAAATTATATTCTTCAAAGTTAAATGCTATATAAAAGGAAAAGTTAATCCTTGAAGCTAATTTTTATTCTGGGTATTAAGTCAAGAAGGGTTCTTCTGAACAGATTTTATTCATGTGTTTTATAGGTTGTCAACTAGAATGTATGTTTTTATTAAAAATGTGGTATCTGTAACAAACTGTATTTGTAATCAAGCAGCATCCACTTTTTTTCTGAATCATTTTAATCCATGATTTAACTGCTGAGAGACCCTGGATGTTTAGTTTCAGCCATCTTGTTATTTATTTCACTGGCAGTCTGACTGAAAAGAATTTTCATCTTTACCACAATTGCACAAGGACAGGAAATGTCAAAGTCCTGAAACTGTAGCAACTGAAGTAAATTCAGGTATTTCATAATCCCTCAGCCCTTGTGCCACTGGAAAGGGAGCCTGTCAGCCTTCCAAACATGGAACTGCTTTCAGCCCTGGAAGCTGCAAGACCATAAGAGCTTTTAAACCCTTATGTGGCTCATGTTCCTGAGAAAGAAATGCTCTGGGCTGGGTTTGTTTGTTTATGTATGATTCTCCCCCAGATTCACATAATGAACTGGCAACAGTAGTAAGGATTACCATCCTCAGAAGTAATGATTAAAATGATTAAAGTGGTAATTCCTGTACCATGCAAGAATTTTAAAGCATGAAGGTCTGTACAAAACTGAGCATTCCTTACTTGTCATTACATCTCTGGCTGCAGGTTTGTCAGAGTTTCCCTGTCATGCAGGAGCCAAAATCCATTTCCTACTCTCATCTGCAAGTGGAACCTCAGCACATCCTTGCTGTGCAGGTGCTGCCCTCCCTCCCTGCAGTTTCTGTGCAGGGGACAGCAGTGATGTGGTGGCACTGACCTGGCCTGGGGGTTTCACAGCCCCTGTCCCTTGTGCTGCTGAAATGGAGCCAGGTGATCCCTGAGCCCAGCTGGGGCTGTGCCAGGGCTGCTGTGCCACTTCCAGCCCTAAATCACAAATGCCATCACTGCAGGCAGTGTTTTCATCCACGGCACAGGCCCTAGGAAAAGGCTTCAAAGCAACAGCTCTTGGGGCTGTCAAGCACCCCCACACTCGGGTACCTGCACACAGTGGCTCTAAGAGAAGAGTTTTGTTTGTTTTTTCCTTCAAACTGCTTTGCAGACATTTTTCTATGGGCTTGCCCAGCCTGGCATAAGAAGGACTTTGGGTGAACAGGTCCAGGTGAGCCAGAGCCAACTCCTTCCCCTCACCCAGCTGCAGGAGACTCCAGCTGGGAATAGCTGTGCTGTGCTGGATTGTCTTAATGTGGTTGAAGTGCAAGTAATTGTTAGACACCTCTAGGACAGGAGGTAAATATATCTTCATCTTATAGATGGTAGAAATAAAACACAGATCTGGTTCTACAATTAGCTAAATTCCAGGTTATGCATTATTTTGCATTAAATTTAGATCAATTCTTCTTTGCATTTGAAATAGAAATCACCCAGAACAGTATTGTACCTATACACTTGAAAAATAATTTGATTTATTTGTTATATTTACACATTTGTTTTTAAGCTAAAATTTGAACTTTTTTGGAATGGTCTTGTGTCATCAGCTCCAGTTTTAGCCCTTCACACCTTTTTGCTATTTAACAAGTATTTTAATAAAAGTAATTTCTTCCCTTAGCCCAGTCAGTATCAGTGTTAGAAGTTCAGCTGCTCAGGTGTCAGCTGCCTAGGAAAGCATTCAGCTCAGTAATCCATCACTTCCTACTTCTTTTAAATATTTCTTAATCGAGTCTTGTAATAAATAAAGATTAATACCACCATGACAACACTGTTTTTTTCAAATTGTTCATTTGCCAGTTTTAACAAGATAAAGAAATGAATACTTAATGTGGACATTGTTTTACCAAAAAAAAAAAAAAAAAAAAAAGAACCCAACCCCTGAAACAAACAGACAAAAAGGAGGACACAAAGGAACACACATGGAATGATGAAAAGGAACAATGATATTGCACAACTTCAGGTCTCTCTTCCCAGATTTGGATCCATGTAATTAGGTATGTATGAATTCAGCAAAACGTTGTGTCCAGATAAATGTGTGGCCATTTGAGTGAATCTAGAACTGCAGAGTGTTTTCAGTTCCTTTTGACTGCTCCTTGGAGCTCTTCTCTAAGGGAGCAGGGTGCTGTCAGCTGCAGGAATAACAAACAAATGTTGACTCTCCATTGTGCTGACCAGTTACCCATAACCCACAGAATTACAATTCTCCTCTACTGCAAATGCACTAAAAGTCCTCAAAGGACCTGGGTCTTTAAACACAACTTCTTGTATCAAGAACTCAAACTACATCTGAAACACAATCAAAGAATATCCCCCAATTTGCTGTGGTTAACTTGAGATTGTGTTTCATTTCATGAGACCAGGGCTTCTCACTGTGTCAGGGTGGCACTGAATGCACAGAAGTCACAGAAGGTAGATCAAGGGAGTGGGGGAGAAGAAAAAAGGAGAAAATCATGCTAAGTGGAAAAAGGTCTTTACAGCTACAATCTTTGCTGAAGCCTCTCTTAACAAGCACGTTCTGTTTGCTACAAAAATCAGGGAATTGTGTCATTCTGGCTATAGCAGGACTGTTTGCCCCTCCACTGCTACCCTGACACTCTGTGTTTATATAAACTTTGCATTTATGTGCAGAACAAAGTCTATTTTTCTCCTCTCTGCATTCATTCCTGTTTGGTGGACTGATGTGCCAGCCAGCAGGGCTCAACAGATACATTTAATACAGGAGACTGAGATACAGTATGTTTATTCTTAACTTCTGATAACCTAAGAACTACAAGAACGAGAGATGCAGTATCCATTTGCTATTATCCAAGACAACCATTTTAGGGAGAAAAAAATAGAATAAGTGATCAATGCTAACACTAGATTAGTTCCAAATATTTTTTTTTTCCAGTTATGGCAGCTTAACTATTTATTGTTCATCTGGCCCACTTTTAATCTGATCAAGTTAAAGGTCACATATTAAAGTTTAAGGACTGTTATTTCATCAAAACCGAAGGAAGTTATAAAAAAACCCCCATGAAACCAGAGTTTCACTGCAGGACTTGTGTCATCTCTTCATAATCTGCATCACTTGTAGAAAAGGGATAATGCATCTCAGTTTGCTTATAAGCTAGGAGATCACTTTGAAGTCTGCATATTCCTAACTGCAAACAAAATATAGCACTTTTAACAGGTTATAAATAAACTGGTTTTCAAGCATAGAGCCAGCCCAACAATAACAATACACTATTAAAAAGACCTAAGGCAATGAATTCCATCTCCAATGGAAAAAAAAAAGAAAAAGAAAAAGAAAAAGAACTGTGCAAACAAGCTTAAAACTATTTCTTTGTGCCAGTGTTATAAAATGTAGATTTCAATAAAGCCTTGACCCAAATGCCAGGACTTGTGAAAAGAATCAGAACAAAACTGGTTACTTTATTTAGGAAAAAAATACTCTTATCTTGCTGCTAATAAAATTGGATACACACAGTTTAAACATTTACAGTTGCTGTAACACTTTACACAATTCCTATATATGGGTGTAAGAACAAACATTAAAAGACAATGGTGGGTCAAGGCTTTACATTAAAAATAACAACCTACTTTTCTATAGTCTCTAAAATACTATGTTTTCCAATATTTGCAGCCATTCAGGAATATTTTTTTATTTATTTATTAGGAAATGTATACTTTGTGCATGATCTTAATTCCTAATTCCTGGCTCTTTGGGCTGAATGACAAAAGGATCAAACCCATTGAAGTGGATGGTCTCCTCGAAGGTTCAGTAGAGAAACCCTGGCTCAGTTAGTCTCATATGATGAAAGCAGTGCTGCATCCACTGGCTCCATGCAGGATGGACAGGTAAAGGATCTCATCAACCAGTCATCTATACAGTCCAGGTGGTAAATGTGCATGCACGGCAGAAATCGGATAGGGTCCCCGTAAACAAAGTCCATCATACAAATGACACATCTGGAGAGGAAAAATAAAATATTAAACTTGCTGTTACCAACCTGGAAATTAAAAACAGTATAATATCTATTCCTGGATGCTTTTAGTATTTGTAGATACTTGTGTAAGGTAAAGGAAAGAGCCTCAGATGCATGGAGTGGTTTGGGTTAAAGGGATCTTGGAGCCCACAGAGTTCCAACCCTCTGCCCTCGGCAGGGATGCTACTCCCCACATCAGCCTTCTTTTTAAAAAAGCTCCATTAAATCACAGTCCCTGAGAAGAAGGCAAGCCCAGGTTTCCCAGGGTAGCATCCCAAACCATGGGCACAGCAGCCACATCCCTTCCCTCTGTCCCAGGGCTTACTCTCGGATCTTCTTCTCGGAGCCGTCCCTGCCGGGGTCGTAGACGCCCTTGGGCAGGTGCTGGATGAGGCCGATGCGCTGCGCGATCCGGATCTGCTCCTCCTCCGTCAGCTGCGTGGCCAGACGAGTCTGGCTGGGCGTGGGGTGATACACAGGGACAGGCACCTGCTCCTGGAAGCAAAATGTGGCCATGAAAAACCACCCAGAGCTCTCCCAGCCTTCCGCAGCACAGTGCAGTTCACAGCCCTACAAATATTTGTATGAACTCCCACTCCTACTTGGCGGTTTTGGGGCTATAATTGTAATGGGAACAGGATAGAGAATTGAGGGCAGTATTTGAGCAAGGAGCTGCTCGTGGCTGTTCTCTGCAAAAGCTTTTGATCTCCAGGAATTGTTCATACAGGAGACACGTGGACAAGAAACTCCACAGGCCAGCAGACAAATGAACCTTACAGGCACCTGGTGAAGGGCTAAGGTACAGAACTGAGCACTGTAAGGGCTTAGGGAGAGCCCCCAGCATCTGCAAATCTGAAAGTAGAGTCTATAAATTTTATCTTCTTTTTGCATTAAGGAAGAGTTCTCTGGGAAGATAAGGATACTGGTTACTCTCAAAATTTTTAGAGAGGAAGGTTTTACTTCCTCTGCAATAACTAAAATGTATGTGAATTGTTTTGGGCCACACAAGCTTAAATCTAGAACTGCAAATTTAATTTTCATGTGTTAAAAGAATGTAACCTGGACAGCACAAACAACAGCTTAAGTAAGTAATCCAACTTTTGTGTTTCTTCTTATACACTAATATGACTTTACAAGTTCTCCCAAGCTGGATTCAACTATGGATATGTTTGAGGTATATATTTTCAAAATAAATACAGGAAACATATAGCCATTATGCTATATAGTCCTTCCTTAACCACATTCTGAGAAGCTTCTTTTGAATATTAATGAACTTTAGATCAGATATTTTCACTAACATTTATATTAACATGGTATTTAATTTACTTGCTTTTAAAGCATTTTTGGGTACATAAACACCAGGTTTGAACAGGATACACTATTAGGACAGTATTGGCCAGTAGCCACAAATCTGCTATTATCAGGGAGGCAATTTCTTGCAAGAGACCCATTTTAATGGTTCTTCTTACACAGCAGAAAAAAATTAAACTTATAGATGTGTCTGAAAATAAACCTGCTGCATCAGACACACAATGCACAGAATCATCTGTTTGGCAAGTGCCAAATTTGCTGTTTTAGAGGACGCTGGTGGGAGCTGAGCCCAGGGCAGGTGTGCGCAGCTGAGGCAGCACAGGTCACCTCCCACATGTAACACTGCATTTGTCAAACCCAGTAAAGCTCTTCTCCTTTCACTGCCAGGAATCACAGCACGTGGACAGCCAGACAGGACTCTTGGAAGGCTGGGAGAAAGCTGTCCCAGGAGTGAGCAGCTCTTGCTGGTGCCACCCAGCAGCAGAAGCCCTTGATGGTGAGAAATGCTAATTACAGACACAAGTCTGCCTGGCAATTCTTCATTGAACACAGTGCCTGCCACTGGCAATTCAGCTGTGGGGTAAAATTCAGAGTCATCTCTTAATTTAGCTAGCCTAAGATCTCCCCCTCTCATTTCCTGGCAGGACTCAGAGGAATTATGAGAAGGTTCAAAAGACAGAATGCCAGGGGTTCTCCAAGTGATTAATTTCCTTACTACTCTGAATCATATTTCACAGAATCACAGAATTCTTTTGGATTAGCTGCCTTTTAGTGTTTTAAATTATCTAAAGCATTCTCCAATCATCATTTGGACAGAGAAAAGCACCAGCTGAACCTAGGGCAGGCCTGTCAGATAGAACAGTACTCAGAAAGTGACTGCAACCTTTGGTGCCAGCAAAATAAAGCATTTCCCCCTGACAAATGCTGCAGACCCTCTGCACTGAACACTTCAGCTCGAAGCACAGCCTGGTCCTGGTTTTATGTTTCAAGAACTTAACACCACAAACTATCAGTAACTTTTTTTTTCCCAAGGCTTTGCTGGACTTCTTTGAACAGGTTATTGAAGCAATAGCAGGACATTACTGCTACCTCCTTCACTGGTTACAAAGATGTAGAGAACAATCAGCACTGGAGAGGGATGTACCCTCCTTCCCATCTAGGAAAAGAGGAGGAGCAGTACAACAAACCACAGGCACAGCACAGGCTGGTCCCAACATGGGCAGGAGGAGGGGAGGGAGCTGAACTTAATACTGCTCCCATACTGCAAGTGATAATGCAGAAATTCAATGAAAGGCAAAAACAGGAGGACAAAAGATCCAAGAAATCCTCAAAATGTCTGAAAGTAGCAATGAAAACTGACGGTGAATGTCTGTAGCAGAGGAACAGCAAACTGATGATCTCAGCAAAAATGATACAACAAAAAGAAACTACAGTTTAAGTAAGAATCTGCTGTGAGTTAGAACAGTCACATTTGGACAACTCTGAAGTGAGCAACAGTCACACACTGCCCAGTCAACAACTGCTTTGGATAAGTTTTGGACAGGAAATCAACACAACTTTTAAACCTTCTATGATAGGCCAGACAAGAACAAAACCTCATTCCTTGTTCTAATATTCTACAGGCACTTGTGAGTGACCACTGAGGGACCCTGCAGCTGGAGAAGCCGCTTGTGCATTACTGCAGTGCCCCTCTCCCCTGGGTGTCACCTTCCCTGCACAGGGGCTGGGCACCAAGCACACCAATGCTTTCCAAGCACACCAATGCTTTCCCGACTCTGGGCTGGATGGAAACTCCTCCCTTTGGCAGCCAGGCTCAGGTTCCCTCCCGGCACAGCCACCCCGACGCGTCTGACACAGCCCATTAAGGCAGGAATTTACAGTCGCCAGCTGGGGGCTTCTACAATTTCACATTCTAGACAAGAACCTCTTGTCAGAGGAGTAACCGGGTGAGAATGGTGCTGTCTTTCACCACGACATCCTCACACTGCTGAATGCAGAGAGCTGGGGTTGGTGTGGCTGTTGTGAAAAATGCAGAACAAATTACTGTAAATAACCCACAGAGACCACTGGATCCCCGGGCACTGAACACCCTGCCTGGTGGCACTTTGATCTTTGATCACTCCCTCCCGACTGCTGCTAAAAGCCTGCCCAAACCGAGCCCTGCACATCAATGCACCAGGGAAATGAACAACACAGCCACACACGTTGCAGCATCACATTGTAGGGTACATCAGCACTGACCCTTTCAAACCAGCCCTTGCCCCTCCAACAGCTAAAAAGAAAAGGTGTGTTCATACCTGTACGATTCTAAAACTATCTGGAACTACTTATTCACGAGAGTCTGAGAGCCCGGGTTTCTCTGAGTGCAAAATGACGTCCCCAGCTCCCTCAGGAGACCCTGGCCAGCCCCCCTGAGCTGGGCTCCTGCCCCTGGCAGCCCCTTGGGCACACACCCAGCTGGCCCAGCCCGCAGCCACCTGGCAGCTCCAGCCCCGCACTTCTCCCCATCCCAATCTCTGCAGCGATTTTGGGATTAAAACACCCAACAATAACTCCAAGCTGCTGGTCCTGTGTGGGTTTATCACCCCTTTGCCAATCCTTCACAGTTTATAAAAGCTGCTTTCACTGACCAAGGTCCTGCTCCTCCAGGGTGGGTGTTCAAGCGAGTCGAGACTTCACTCAGCTCACATTTGTAGCCAGGGGTCCCCTGACATGGGTGTATATAAAAAAGATTGTATTACCCAGGTAATTATTATTTTACTCCAAAGACAAGCATGAATTTATTGCTCTGGTGTCTCATATTTCTCTTATCGACCATGGAAAATGTTTTTGCAGACAAAATTACAAAATACTGAACTTCTAGCCAAAGTCTGTGTTATTTATCATTTGATAAAGATGTAAGGCACTTCGAACTAAGATGAAATTTCATGCTAACTTTATTACTTCGTGCAAAAACCCCTAGAAAAGGCCAAAACAAATAATCAAATCCACATATCGCTGTCAGGCAATGAAATAAAAATCACTTTCTGGCACTTAATTTGCTTTAGTCAATTATTTTTCCCCATAAGAATTTAGTAATGATGAAACACCTCAGATGCCCATAATCCTGGAGACACACAACTTTCTCTTTGTTCACAAAGTCAGTGGTATCAGCACAAGTTTCCCTGGCTTTCTGTGCACAGAAATCATTCACTCCCAATGTTTATTCAGCCCTTAAAAACAGCAGCATTAATTCAGACTCAAGGACTACAGCAGTGTTTGTGTCTCCATCTCACCCCAGCTTCTCCTCCTCTTAGGGGAAAAAAAAAAATCAGAGGGCATCTGGAGGTCTGCATTTCTCACTTCCAATGAAAAAAAAAAACATTTTCACACATGGCCTAAAAGGTCCAGAAACTTTCTACAAAAAGATTTCCAAGCACACTTTGGATTCTTGACTAGAAAAACAAGGTTTCAACAAGCATGGTTTTTAGTTTGAAACTTCCTCATCAATGCAACTTACTTTAGTAACTTATGCTGTTGTAAATCTGCTTTTCTCTTGTTTTACAGCCTTTTTGTCTTGTTTCTGCAAGTACCATGAATTTGTAATACTCTGAAAACAGGTCAGTGGTAGATCAGAAACTCTTAATCCCTCGATAAAGATTATTTTAAGATCCCTCTACGCCACATATCAGCAGTATGTTATCAGGGCTTTTGTGTGTGGTTTTTATAATTGCACCAACATGCCCAAATTATCCTTTCATGATGGTCAAAGGTGAGATGAATAATTCCTAACACCGAATAGTTCAAGGTTAAAGCCTCACTGCTGTCCCTGAGATCCTGTCTACAGCCCCTGCTTTCCTCTACTGATTGCTTTGCCCTTTTTCCATCTCTAAAATTTCTTCCTCACCTAATCCAGTGCTCTCTGTGTGTCTCATATGAATTTGCATTTTATCACCAGATCAACGGTGTATCTGTTAATTCAGTCCAACAGAGGAGACAAACACCTCCCTAACTATGTTATCCTCCATCTTTTTCACACTTTTTAAACCAGCAGCTGTAGCGCTTACGCTCCTTGCGGTCGCTGCCTAATTAAAGAATGCAAATATAACAGTTCCATTTGCATTTCCCCAGCTGTTCCCACAGCTCTGCTCTGAAATCCCTTCGACTTGCAAATGTCCTGCCTGGAGCAGGATGTCTGAAGGCAG